GAAGGGAGGGCTAGGAATGGGGAAAAAATAAGAACCAAGATGCATTATGTAAAGGTACAGTTCCCAATGAGAAATGTAATTGTGTTGTATACCTAAAATATACCAATAAAAGAATCGAACAACAACAACAAAAAAAGTACACATGTGACATCCTCCATCTCAATGCATACAGGTGTGACATCCTCTATCTCAAAGTCGGATATGTGTGACTTCCTCTATCTTAATGTCATATATGTATGCACATGTGACATCCTCTTTATTTTTTATTTTTTTATTTTTTTGGTACCGGGGATCGAACTCAGGCCCTTTCGCTTGCAGGGCAGGTGGCAGAACCACTGAGCTAAATCCCCGGCGACATCCTCTTTCTTGATGTTATACCCATGTGACATCCTCTATCTCAGTGCCCTACACATGATATCCTCTATCTTAATGTCACATCAAAGAACAATAGTCCTCTTTTCTTTTTAACTGAAAAGTCACTAAAACGCAAAGCTGTTGGACCCCAGGTGAACACAAAAGTCCTCTAGTTGTGACAGTAGAGATTCCCAGAGTGTCCTACTTTTTATAGACATCTCTCAGCACTCACTGAGTCCCTGACAAGTGCCAGCCACTGTGTCCCAACTACTCTTCATCTGCAGAACAACCCTCAGGGTGGTCATCATTACTGCTTCACAGACATCGAGGTAAGGTCCCCAGCAGTAAGGGCGTGGAGAGAAAGCCGGGCCTTTGCACAGAGCCACCAGGTGGAGGGCTTATTGCTTATCATAAAGATAGGTCTCTTTCCGGGCAAAGGTTGGGGTTCCTTGAGCTTGGGACCCCTCAGCTGGGACCCAGCCTCTGGATGTGTGCATCTATTTGGGCTGTTCTGCACTTCTGCCCCCTAGGGTCCTAGGGACAAGGGGAGCCGATGACCCATGTAGCTGGTGCTGCCTGTGGTGCAGTGTGTAGTGCAGCCCTTTGTCTCTTCTGGCATCCATTAAGCTTGTTAGCTGTAAGCGGGGTAAAATCTCAGCTGCCACAATTCCCAAGAGTCTGCTCCTCACTCCATCTCCAGCCTCCAGAGCTGCCAGGGCTGACACTTGTGGGCTGCAGCAGATACTTGCTGAATGAATGGGAGCACAAAATGATGCCTGCAAGTAATCAGTGCAGCCTCAGCATCTTCCTGGTAGCTAGCTACCTTCCACTTTCCCCCTCTGTGCCGTCCTACAAGACAGGTAGGGAAACTCCAAGTCTATTTCTTTAGCTGTCTGGGTTAGGCAATATTTCCCCACCGTAATCTTGGCCTGTGCAGTCAGACCTGTCTGGAAGCACTGCAGAAAGCGACCTGAAAGCGTTAAACTCTGTAAATGAGTTCTTACTTGATGCCACAGAGCGCCAGCCAGAGTAAAGAGGAAAGTGCTCCAGTCCTCCGTTCCCGGGCCAAGATGAGTCAGAACTGAACTACAGCACAGGAGCAAAATTTCTGTTGCGGGCTCCCAGGTCTCAGTGGCTCGGGCTGCAGGACCTCGTCGAGGTTATATGTGGGAAGACGAGGGGATCTCTCTGGCCAGTGGGTGTCCTCCATAAATCAGGGGCGGCAGGGGGCTCTCCTCCTAATCCTGGATGCAGCCCTCTGGACACCCTAGGGGGCGTGAGGCCCCCGGCAACCCAAGCCCAGATCTGGGGGGATGGGGCCGGTAAACCACCCTCAGCCCTCCAGCCCACGTCCTCACTGGGCGGGCATCTGCCCTGGTCTGCTGCCCAGGGTCGGCCAGCCACACTTACCTGGCAGGAGGAAGCCTGTGCTCGGTCCTCCGCCGAGAGCCCAGCCGGCCCGCTCCGGGGCGAGGCCGCCGGGTCCGGGAGTCTCCAGCTCGCAGCCGGAACTCCGAGCCCTTGCCCACCCCGCCTGTGTACGAGTGTCGCCTTGGCAACGCCATGTTGTTGAGGGGGCGGGGCCTGAGAGGGCGAGGCGGGGCGGGGCCTCAAGCGGAGCCTGCTCCATCCCACAGTTGGGGAAACTGAGGCACAGAGGTAACCCTCACAGGAACTTTTAGAGCAAGAAAGAAATAGAGAGGGCATTGCAGAGGGATGCAGGCGCCTTTTTGAAAGGAAGAGGGTTTCTACTCTGTGCTGGGGAAAGGCTGTTTCCCAAAGCCCTACTGTCCAGGCCTCCCGTTAAAACGGACATTTATTCATTCTTTTGTTTTTTCTTTGTCTCTGGGAACCCCCCCCCCCCCCCGCCCCGGTGCTTGTAAGCTCAGACTGTGGTCCCAGATTTGACTGGATCAGTCTCTGTCCTCAAGAAACCCCTGGCTGTCCCGTGTGCTTGGATGGGGGAAGGGTGTGCCTGGAAGATGTGCAAAGCCTTTCTGGGTCCCCACCTGTCCCGCCTGTCTCTTACTGACTCCCACCTGTGGAAGCCCTGGCACTGTTCCCTTAAAGCCTCATGTCATAGGCAGGTAGGGACTGAGGAGGGGTATTGAGAAAAACTCAGTAGGTTTTTGTTCGAAAAATGAACTATGGTGTACTTGACCCAGGGCAACCAGAAGGCCATATAAGAGAGACCTCATGAACATGAATTTGGGGTGCTCATGGACATCAGAGTCTCCAGCCAGCTGCTGCCCCAGCTCCCTCCCCTAGTCACACTCCCTATACTCTTTTGTAGCAAATTCTTGTCACCAACATAGACCCAGGACCCTGTCTTGCTCACTACCAGTCAGACCCCAATGAAACCCAGCTGCCATGAGCTAGAACTTTGCCCCTGCCAGGCTTTACAGTCACACGATGCTGTTAGGTGATCTCTCAAAGGAGAAACGCCAGCTGACCTTCAGAGCCAGTGGAGCAGAAACTGCCAAAGTCTGACTGGATGTGCCCTCCCCCAGGGTGCTGTCAAACTCTCCACACCCAAGTCCCTGTCATCTGTGCTTGTTTCAGAAACAAAATAAAACACCCAATAACAGGGTTTTATGATATTGTTTTCTGGGCTGAAAGAGTTCTACCTTGCTCTAAATAATGATGGTATATTAAAAATACTGCTCAGAAGAAAAAAAAAATCCAGTTTATTTGGGCTCCCTGGTGGTGCTTGTAATATATCTGCTTTTTTGAGCTCTGGGTGGTCACCAAGGCCATGCTGTAGGATGGGTATAGTCAGAAACGTTGGCATCTGACAAACCTGACTTCCCACCCTGTCTCTGTTGTTCCTGCTGTCCTCATTCATACTACTGGAGTGAATAATGTTAGCTGGGCCTTCTACCTGCCAGGGCCCGGCCTCCATCCTTCACAAGGGTCCTCTCATTTAACCCTTGCTGTAACTGTGCACGGGGGAGAAGCACCCAGGATGGTAACTGTGCATAGGACCACCAAAAAGGTCAGCACTGGTCATTATTTCTATGAAATGACCCCTCTTCACAGGGAAAATAATGCTTAGAAAGGCAGAAGGTACCTGAAGTCCCAGCAACTAGAAAATCTGGCTGGAATCTGCAGATTGGTCTCCATCTTAATGATTTTTTGACTTCATGTTGGTGTGAAAGTGATGATGCATTCAGTAGTAACCATACTTCAAATTTTGAGTTTTGGTCTTTCCCCAGGCTGGTGATAGGGTATGCAGTATGATATTCTCTGTCTGTGTCTCTTTGTTTCCCTGAAGTACTGGGGATCAGACCCAGGGCCTTGTGAGTGCTAGGCAAGTGCTCTCTCACTAAGCTCCAACCCCAGCCCAGGTACTTTCTTGATGCTGGGCAGTGGCAGTGGGCCACAGCTCCCAACCGACACGTGATCACAAGGAGAAACAGCTGGTTCTGTTTGGTGGCCTGTGTGGAGCCAGGCCACACAGAAGGTGAGCAGTGGGAGAGGAAGCCAAGCTTCATTTGTGTTTACAACCTCTCCTGTTGCTCATGTGACTGCCCGAGTTCCACTCCTGTCAGATCAGCAGCCAAATTAGATCCTCATAGGAGGATCTAATTGAAGCCTTCTGGAAACTGTGTGTGTGAGTGGTCTAGGCTGTGCTCTCCTTGTAAGAATCTAAAGCAATAATGATAGAAATAAAGTGCACAGTAAGTATAACACACTTACTGTGAAATCACTCCAAACCACTGGCCCCACACTGGTCAGTGGAAAAAGTGTCTTCCATTAAAAAGGGTCAGGATAACTTACCAAACATCACCACTGCTGCTATAAGGTGTTGCTAAGCTGTGAAGTTGGGTGCATTCAATGTATTTTTTACTTACAGTATTTTTGATTACTTACAATTTTACTTGCAATATTTTGATTATCAGGACCTAACCTCATTGTTAGTCAAACAGTAGCTTTAGATGTGCAGGAAAGGTATTTTCCCTGGCGGACTATGGGAGACAGCTGTCACAACCACAAGAGGACACCTGCTTTCCCTCGCTTCTGAGCAGGCTGAGCTGCTGGCTGTCCCACAGGCCCAGGCAGGGCCCATGTGGAGGAGGCGCCACAAGCTAAGAGGAGGCAGCTCAGGCCTGCCACCCACCCCACCTGCCTGATGCCTGTATTACTGGACTTCCTTCCTGCCCCATAAAAACTCATTCCCTCCCAGCCGCCTTCTCTGGACTGTCCTGTGCTCCCTGGAGACCTGCCTGGTGTTCTTCCCTTGGCCCTTACATTCCAACATGACATGAGTGCTGACTTCAGCCCCAGCCCCAGCTAGGAGAGTCAGGGAGCCTCCATCAGCCTCTGCTAGGGAGAAGGAGCCAGAGAGTGGAAGAGCAGGAAATAGCCAGGCAGTTGTGCAGGATGAGAGATGACAGAGAGCAGAAGGTCTACTAGAGACTCCCTTGCCTGTTAACCTGGCCATATAAGCTTAGCAAGTACTGATTTTTATATACAGATACACACAGAGACCCACAAAATAACTTCAAATCATGGAAAGAGTAGCTGGTACCTGAGGCCTTCTGCAGCTGCCCTGGCCCCTTCCCCAGCAGGAGATGGGAAAGCATGGAGCTTGGTCTTTAAAGGGCTCCTCTGTTGCTGTGTTGGAACATTCATTTCTCTTGCAAGTCAGTCTTCAAAGTCAGTTCCCTTGCTTCCTCCTGTTCTGCCTGTGTGTTTCATTCAAGAACAATCCTTAACATCTATTGCGTCTCTCCCTGCTGCAATGGGAGGATAGCCCAGTCTCAGCTCAGGGCACATACACCTGGGAAGAGCTTTGATTTGCATCATGTCTCAGTGCAGACCCAGAGCAAACCTGATGGTTGAGCCATGCCTGTCATTCTGACCAGATGCCCTCGGGCCTTTCTGGAGGTGAACATCAGAGGCAGGCTGAGGTCCTTCTCAGGTGACTCCTTCAGGGGACTCCCGGGAACCCAGAATTCTCTGCTGGACAGTTTCTTTAATTCTACTTCTAGGCATCTGGACAAACCTCCAGCATTTTTTGTGAGTCACACATAACCTTTAGCAATGTGGTAACAAATCCAGGAAATATTTATGAAGCTCAGCAGGTACCAGCTACTGGGTCACACATGGTTTTATGTAATCCTTAGCCCAACCCTTACAGAAGGGAGAACTGAGAGACAGAGAAGTCAAGTAACTTACCCAGTGAGCATCTGTTTAAGTGGAGGTTCTAGGGTTCCACCCCTGAGTGTCTGACTCCAAAGTGCTGCATTTTGCTCAACTTTCATCAAAGGTAACATATGCACTGAAAAGTGCACAGGTCTGAAGTGTGCACCTGATGGATTTTTATGAAGTGTGCACCCCACCCACCCAGGAGTCACAGGGTCATAGAGCATGTACATGTGGAGCTTTAGGACATTCTGCTGAAGAATTTTCCCAGGTGCTTGGTACCAACTCTCATTCCCTCAGCAGGGTATGAACAATTCCAGTCCAAGCTTTTAAATGCTATCCTCCTTGTCCTTACAAAGGGGCATTCTTGGGACAGTAGGTCCTAAACCTGGCCCCATGTGCCAGGCCAAGTGCCCAGACCGCCCCTACAGACTTCTGGGTGGCCAGAGGGCCAGAATATAAACCAGATCCTACTACACTCTCAGATGTTCACGCATCTCAGGTGTCCGGAGCAGCACCTGACACCGAGCTGGCACTTGATGAAATTTTAAAAAATTAAACAAATTCTTTTAGGAGCAAGGAGACCCAGAAGGGGGCTTGAGAGAGGGTGTGAGCCACTGAATAGGGGTGAGGGGAATTTGATTCGTCTGAGCCTGTGTTTCTGGGATAGAGTCCGATGCTTAACAGATGTACCCTCCATCTCTGTGACTGGAGCTTGTCTAGTTTAGTTGTTTTGTTATCTACAGAAACCGTCAGTCCCAGGGAGGGAGGCCCAAGAACTGTGTGCCACTCTCTGTGGTACTTGACTGAGTATAAGAAGCAAACACAGGGACTGCTTCCTTGGTGGCTGCTAAGTTGACATTTTGGCTCCCTTTGACCTTGGACCCACAGGGGCTCTAGCGCTTCTAGCAACTTCCTGTCCTGGGACTCTCCGTGCCTGTTTGTTGAACAGCAAATCCAGAAGGAGAAGGTGGCCCTGAGTTTCTGCCAAGAGCAAGCAGACAGGTGCCTGCCATTGGGGGCTCCTGCCTCTCTGCCAGCTGCTTGCCTCCCAGAGGTCCAGGTTAGGGTGACCTCATCCTGTATCACCTCCCTTGCTTTCTGGAGGTTTTTGGCCCTTTTTAAGGCTATCTGCATGTTTTTCTCATTTCCATGGCTCTGATGTTTTGATACTGTTTCAGGCCTTTCTTGGCACACAGACTTTTTATCTTCCTTTCCTGGCACATGACCCTGTGCCTCTCTAGACTTTTCTGCTCAGGTCTCCTCTGAAGCATTCCATTTGGTCTAAATATGTCCAGTTTTCCCTCCTTCCTCACTGTGCTCAACATAGGCTCTCTCTTTTCCCAAGAACAACTGCTCTTTTCTCCCTGGCCCTTCACCTAAGTCCTC